ACAAAGAGACCCCAGGGATGGGCGCACACAGAGCACAGACTCTGAAGGCAGGAGGAGGAGCCCCGGCCATGTGCAAGCCAAGGAGAGAGGCCTCAGAGGAAACCGACTCTCCTGATTCCTCCGATCTTGGATGTCCAGCTGTAGTGTTGTGTTAGGACAAACTGAAACTAATACAGTACGCATGTTCCACTGGCACCATTCATCTGGCTTTGTCCCCCTGGTCCTGAGCTCCCGAGCCCGCAGCACCCAGCTTTAAGAGGGAAACAGTGGTTCTCAAGTGTGGCAGGAAACCACATCAAGTAAGGAACTAAGGAACCAAGGCCCCGGCACAGAAGAGCTAAGTAGCAGGTGACCGACCCTACCCTACCCATGCGAGGCTGGTGCTCGCTGTCTGGGGATTTATCGCAACACGGCAGACAGACTGCAAGTTTTCGGGGTGAGCCCAGGGGCAGAACCAGAAGCAGCGTGTGGGAAGCTGTGAGGAGCCAGACTTCAAACACAACAGGAGCACAATCACCTAATGGCCATCGTGGTTCAAGAAGGGAATGTATTGCCACGTGAGGGGAGGGCCCCTGCCGTGCTGGAGACAGGGAAGCGGAAGGCAGAGCATGCCAGCCACCCCTGCCTGAGAAGGGCCAGCTCTAATCCGCACCCACCTCTACTCAGAGCAGGAGGAGCTCCAGACCCCACCCTGGATGGTTAGCCTGGACCACCGTCCCCTCTCCCCCCTCTTCCCACAGCTCGGGTTGGGACACCCACTCCGGATTCCGACCCCACCAGCTGGGAGGCACCCTGTGTTCTTCCAGCCCTGCTGGCTCCTGTGACTTATTTCCTGAAGCCTTCACACCATCTGACGCAATGCCCTGACTTGTACTTGAACCCCTGGACCATCCATCAGCCCTGTCCCCACAACCCCAGCCTGGTGACAGATCCCAGACATAAATGGGAAAACCCCCACCCTCAGACCGAGAGTCCAGCTCCACTCAGCTAAGTTAGCCCAGGCAAGTCCCTGAACCTCTCAGAATCCGTGTCCCTGTCTGCCTCATTCACAACAATGAACACTTGAAAACACACGTGTCCAACAATAGAGGGCATTAAACAGGACAGCAGAAGTCCACAGGAGAATGTTACGTGTGCAACAGTAACACCATAGAATATATTGAGTAACACGGGACAGTGCATCAAATACGGAGAGAGACGTTTATTATAAACATATTTTTAAAGATTATTTACTTGAGAGAGGGGGAAAGAGAGGGCACACACACGAGTGAGTGTGGGGGACGGGGCAGTGGGGAGAGAATCCCAAGCAGACTCCCCACAGAGTGTGGAGCCCAACGTGGGTCTCAGTCTCAGGACCCCAAGATCATGACCTGAGCCAAATCCAAGAGTCAGACGCTTAACCAACTGCACCATCCCAGTGCCTCCTGAACATTTTTGGTAGAAAAGTACACCAATGCAGGAGGAAAAAAAAAAAAAAAAAAAAAAAAAGACGTTATATAATCATAAAGCTAAGAGCAGTGATTCTTAAATTCTTTCTTTATACTTCCAAAGTTGTCAACAGTGAGCATGTCACACTTTTTAACTAGGAATAAAGTTATTAAAAAAAAAAAAATCGCTACCACACTCATTTCACCTTTTTCCTCCTCAAAGAGAACAAGGTTACAATCCACTGACCCAGGAACCTAAGAAAGGACACAGGGAGTCCATTACATTATCCTACTTACCATTGCCTACACTACGACTGGCCGGGTTTTGAACTTGGAAGAACAGAACAGCTAAGAAAATGGATTTCGTGGAAGGTTACATCATGGGCCAGAGGCTCCCTGAGGAGACTCCCAAAGGCGTCGACTCCTGAGCCCTGGTCATGCCTCGCATCAAATGGTCTCCACTGCCACACTGCCCCATCCGTCCCGCTAGCAAGAAAGAGCGCCACGTGCCACCCACAGGTCATTGTCTAGCTGCTCCGTGAGGCTTGGCTCCACGCTGTACGGGAGTGAAAAGCCTGCCAGCAGAGCCGTGTTCCCATTCAGCTGGTTTTGTCCCCTGGTAATGAGCTCCCTTGGCTCCCTCCCGGGCTGGAAAGAGGCCGCTGCAGACCAGTGCCAACCAGAAAAGCCCCTTGTGAATGGCCCATCAAGGAATTCGGGAGCTTGGCAGATGGCTAGGCCACAACCGTCCAAAGCAGTCATTCCAGTGGACAATATCGGCTTGACTGGAGATGGAAGGCTTCCATTCCCCCCCACCCCTATTACAGGGTCCATGACATGGCCGCACAGAAGCACACACACCCCAAGACTGGGGACCCAGGACACGCACACGCTAGGGGCAGGTCTTGTCACCAACAGCCTGTGGCCAAGCCTGCATGGTCCTCATCCCCTTCTCTGTGGACACCCAGAGGAGCTGATCAGCTGTGAACAAGTCTGTGGCTTACAAAGGCCGTATTTATTGTCTTCTCCATCTCCAATCCGCACTCCCATTTTAGGCATCAGACCAGATTGCCGGCTGTGGGCCTCTCGCTCCTCACCAGCTTCGCAGGAGCTAGAAGCAAGGGACAAACATGCTACTGCACCCCAGTAGGTACCCATCCACACAGTCCCAGCGCCAGTCCCTTCAGACCTCCCTCCTCTCTGTAGGCACTATAGAAGGCTATAATTCATCAATACCATTCAGTGGGTTCCCCCATAGACTTCCCGAAGTTTCAAGCAGCTTCAGGAACTAGCTCTCCATTAGAAGGGATAAATGCTAAAATAGTCTCGTGATCACAAGCATGTTTTTTAATATGTCCTGTATGATAAATGAATGAACCAATGAACCAGTTACATACACTCTGCACATACTGTGGTCTTCTTAAAATGTTTCTGGAGAATCCCAAGCATGCATGGGATAGTAAGACCACCTATTGAGGCCTCTCTCCCAGAAGGCTTCAACTCTTTCCTGCTCCCTGTCAACACAGACCCATGAAACCAGTTCAGAGACTCAGAGAGGCCATCTCCATAGCCATGTGCTGTCATGTTTTGGAATATGCCAGATGGACCAGTGCCGAAAGGTCCATGTACCACACAAATAGACACTTCCAACTCCACTTAACAATCACAGAAGAAAAAAAAAAAAAAAATGGTGCCCAGGTAGAAATTCGCCGGAAACATTCTTCTTTACAAAGACTCACAGTAAATCCCATGGCCTCAGAACGGCAGAAGGCCCTCTCCCTTGAATGAGGGTCCTACTGCCCATGCCTCCACCTGCCCCACACAAAACCAGAGCGCCTCCTCCCCCTAAAGCTTTGCACACACAAACCAGGTCCCACCCAACTGCAGGAAAAGACCATGGCCTAACTCAGCAGGGAAGATTTCCAGAAAAGATTCTGGGCCTGGTGCCCCAGAGGAAGGATTCTGGAGGGAAATTTTTCCATTGGATTCCATCATCAGAGACAAGAACTCAGATCTTTGTTTCCCACTTCCTTTTCTGTGGTTTGATTTATCTACTTGCCGTGACGGATACCAGAAAACAGCTCTCCCTGGGTCTTAGGGAGATATTGGTCAAGTCCAAGACCAGTGGTCTGGCTGGACTTCAGGAGGCTACCTGGCTAGATGCTACAGCCCGTGTCCTACTCTGCATCAGAATCACATGGAGGGGCTGCTGCTCAAGTTTTAGGAAGAACGAAACATAAATGATGTCCTTAGTACCTACAGAACCCACCCTAACCACATTGGGGAGGGTCTGGCCATCTTCAGCCTAGAAGATCAACTCTATGTCGAGTTCCATGTCGTAGCGGATGTTAAGTCACGACGAGGTTGCGTGTGCTCTACCCTTGGGTCAAGAGACACACTCTCCACCTTTCTCACCCTGAGCCTGTCCTCAAAGAACAGAAACCTACATTTGCAATCTATTTGCCTGACGAAAGCATGTACTCCATAGCTGGGACAGAAAGCCATCGAGGAAAGCCGGCATGAAGTGTGTAACTATTCCAAGCCCTCCTAGCACAGAAACCTTGGGCAGTGCATGCTGGAAGCTGAACTGGTACAAAGCTTTAGGTCACATTCCGTTCAAGTTCTAGTTTTTCCTAAACCTTTGCATGGTAATTAACAGTGCTGCAGGAAATAAAAAGTTTCCACAGGAAAAGGTAATTCTGTCAAAGCTTACCCCTCAGTGGATGGGGATAGGTCTTAACGGTCCAGCTGTTTGTGGGAGGCCAAATTACCCTTGGTGAACAAGGGACGGAGACACTCGGGAGGCCCTCGCCCTACAAATGGCCATGCCACAGTGCCCCAAAGCAGTGACGGAGGACCCCTGTCTGATGTAAGAAAAACTCTAACTTCAAGGCTGCTTAATCTTAGACCCGGTGAAAGGTTCCATCTTGCCAATACAAAATGTCAGAAGCTAGGACACAAAATGATTTTTTAAAAACTCAAACAGACCTTATTTCTTTCTAGACATCCAGCTCCTGTAAATACCCTCATCACAGAATGACCAGAAGTGATCAACTTTGAATGATATCAAGTGCTGAGAAGATAAGCATCTCTCCCCCTTTGAACTTCAACAGGACAATGACCAGAAGATCATTTCGATTATTAAAAACTGGGGTTTCCAAGGTGCACACCCCAAGCATGTCCTGGCGGCTAATGCCAGAGAGCGCCACACGTGTGAAAAGCAGGTGAAAACACGTTATACCCCTCCTGACCGTGTCTTCCCATTCATTGCTTCTTAAGGATCTAGCAACGCCAACCTCAAATTCCACCGTGCATCGAAATCACCTGGACAGCCTGGAAAACAATCCATGCCCGCCCAGGCAGCACCCAACTGCACTGGATTTTCTTGGGGGTACAACTCAGGTATCCCCATTTTTCAAAGCTCCCACACCCCAACCTCCCACAGATGTGCAGCCCAGTCTGAGAACCATAAACATTCACGGGCCCACCTTGCCTTCCTCAGTCAAGGCGCCCCGGTTACTAACAGAGCGCGCAGCCCAGGGGCGCGAGCCCGGACACCGCCGCAGCTCCTACCTATGTAGAGCGAGGAGTCCTTCCTCCGCACGTGGTCGTCGATGTAGGAGACGCCCAGGGGCTGCACGGGGGTAGCACCGATGCCCAGGAGCACCTGGGCCCCAATGAGCAGCAAGTACATCATGTTGGTGGCGGTCCGGCTGCGGCAGATGAGGTCCGGGTCGGGGCCCTGGTCTCCACCCGAGCCGTTGGCGGCGCAGACGTCACGGCCCTCGGCGCCCCAGCGGATCTCGCCGGCCTCGTACTTGTACTGGTGGGTCAGGAACTCGGGCAGCGCCGACAGCAGCGCGCCCAGGGCCATGACGATGCCGCCGCAGCCGATGAGGCGCGGCCGGTGCCCGCGCGCCCCGAAGTAGCTCACGAAGAGGATGAGCGCCAGGTTCCCGATCTCGAAGCTGCTGGCGATCACGCCCACGTCCGCGCTCTGCAGGTTGAACCTCCGCTCCAGGGTGGTCAGGACGCTCACCTGCAGGGTGCAAAAGGAAATCTCAAGGCCAGTGCTAGCGCACGCCACCGAGCAGCAGCCCCCTCCGGCCTCGCGGGGCGCCTGCGGGCAAGCCCTGGCCCCTCCGCAGTGTTTCTGGGAGGCAAAAGACTTAAGGGACTTAAACGACAGGGACAAGGGTCTTAAACCTGAAGAGTCCGAAAAATACTTAGTAGGATAACCCTAATTCGACGGCTAAAGAATTAACTTTCCCGCTGGCAAGGAAGTTTTTTCTTGGCACCTGTTTCCATCCTGAAAGGTTCTGCCTGTATTCGGGAAACACAACTGCCCTTCTCCACACGTGGCCACCGTGCTCATGGGCAAGCCCTAAGTCCATTTTCACCCTCTCCCAAACTATACCCTACTTAGAAACCCCACGCTGGGAGGGCGGGGGGGGGGGGGAGGCTGGGGGCTTTTTCAAGTTAGCAAATCCTACCTGAAGAAAACAAAACAAAGCCCTAGTTGGCAAAATGGACATGCTGGATTAGCTCACTGGGACAATCATTAGCTCCAGTTCCCTCTGGAAATTTCCAACATACATTTCCCTAGAGGCCTTCAAATAAACGACCTGGACTGTTCTATGCCCTGCAGCTCTGCTAATGTCCCCTGATGGAACCTCTGTATTCTAGTCTGTTCTTCACCTGTTTAACACACAGTAAGCCTCCACAGTGGCTTGGCAATGCCCCCCCCACACACACACAGAAGAGAGGACACCTGGCCTCAAGATGCCAACTAGCAGACACAGAACACAGCTACAATACAAGTCCCTGGATATTACCTTCATGCTACAGGCATCACAGGAGCAGGGTCAAGAAGAGACGCATTATTTTAGGGCTTTTGAGCTGGGGGGGGGGGCGGAATGCAAATGGCCCTGCCTCCTACTGTTTGTAGGTTCCACATGGGGTATTATCAGCGAGAGTCCCCGTCTTCATGGGAGGTTGGATAGACCTAGCTTGGCAGGGAAGTACACTCCAGGCTAAAGAACAGTGAGCAAAAGTTGGTGGCATGATTTAATAAAGGAGTGGAAAATGGTTGGAAAGGTGGATTGGTGACAGATTCTAGAGAGCCACAGATGCCACCCTAAAGAAATCAGGCAATCCTGTGCAGTGTGGTGGAAAAAATGCAGCACACGGAGAGAGGAACACCTGGTTTGAATCCCAGCTATTACTCCCTTAATTAGCTCTGTGATTTTGGTCAAGTTGTTTCATCTGTCCAAGCTTTGATTTCTTAGTGAAGCAGGAACAGGAACATGAACCCAGAAGTGTGTACATGAGGGTTGAAAATAATGGAAGGTCCGCTAGCAGACAGCAGCCTTTCCGTACCTGGCAGGAGAGCCTAGGGAGAAGAAGCAAAGCAGTGGGGTGCGGAGCCAGAACTCCAGGGCCAGAACATCTGGGACCATCCTGATTCTGAGACCTTGGGCAATTCACCCTATGCTTTCACTTTCCCGTCTATAAAATGGGAACACGAGTGCCAGGAACAAACAACATACAGGGTAAGTGCTGTAAAGGGCTACCTATACCACGGTCACTTATCTATGGGCATCGGGCAACATCAAAGCAGAAGAGAGGATGCTAGGTGTGGCCATCATGTGCCAAATGGGCCACAGAAGAGTGGAGCGAGGAATGCCAGCAAACTATTAACGAGGAGAGAGGAAAGGGAAAGTCAGTAAAGTGGCAAGAGAGATGGAAGGGAGAATTTGAGAGGCTTGCAGGGGCAGACTTCTCTCTCTGAGACACTCTGGGCTGCGGGCTCTGGGCTGCTAAGGACTGGGAGGAATAAGTTCTGTGGATCTCGCCTTCCACCAAACGTATGAACACATGCCCCACTGCCCAAACGCACGCATCCACAGCCTCTGGCCCTGGGCACACCCAGCTATACCTGTAAGGATCAGCAGGTCTCTGTGCACCTTATGAAAAAGAAGAGTAGCTCAGGGGTTCTGTCCAACCTCATCTTCAACCCCACACGTTCTAACAGCCTTCTTCAACCCAGGGCTTCTCAAAGCTACCTTCAGATTGGAAACACTTGGAAACGCTTAAGAGTTCAGATGCCCAGTCCCTCCCCGAGCTTCTGACTGAGCTGGTCTTGGGGGCAGCCTGGGATTTCGTGACAGTCCCCAGGTGACTCAGCCCAGGGTCAGCAGCATGGCAGTAATGCCACCCACTATGATGGTCTGTCCTTCAGCGGTGGGCGGGGGGGGGGGGGGGGCGCGAGCTCAGTAGAGCAGTGTTCTAACACTGGTATTGGCCACAGGACATCTGCGTCCCCACTCTTGCCCACATTCCAATTCTGATTCCCATTCCCACTGCACTTCCTAACCAAGACAAAGCCAGCTCGCAACTCAGTTGGCCCCCATTATGTGGCTAGTTTAGTTCTCAAACACCAAGTATTTGCAATTGACAAGAAAAGAAATTTATTAGCTGGTCTCATTAAACTGGTTTTCAAATACTCCTGAAGAAGTTCTTTCTGGAAGGTCTGGGTAAGAAAAACAAAGGCTGCCTTTAGTCACTCCTTTGCTTTGTAACAAAAAAAAAAAAAAAAAAAAAAAAAAGGCATGATGGGATCAGCGCTCTAGCAGAGGTTTGTAATAGGTAAAGCTGTGTGGGAGTGCAGAACCCGACAGTCTGTCTGCCTGGGAGGCTGGGGGGCTCCAAAAGGCTTCACCCCAACCTTTGTGCTGAGCCTTGAGAGATGCCCAGAAGACGTGGGTGCAGGAAAGGAGCAGGAACACATCCAGGCACTAGAGTGCCCTCACGCCTGGTGGGTCTGCAGCCTGGTGACCCCCATGACGGGAGTCAAGGACAACAGACGTGGGAGGGCAGCAGGTGGGAAGGTTTGGAGCAAAAGCTGTTTTTCACTCCTGCCACAAGGCTTAATGACATAAATATTAGGCGGCATATCTGAAACAGGACAACAGCGCTGTTTCAGCAGGTGTGACCTGTCATAAAATATCACACAGGTGTGGACATTTATGATGACAGATAAGGATGGTGGGGATGGAGACAGCTGTAGGCAAAACAAAAAACCAATTAGCTCTTCTAGAGAGAGCTGGTGTCTGCGCCTGCAACTCCACTCGTCCTGCCTCAAGCCTGGTCTTTGGAAAACCCACAAGGGATGACAGGACATGGAACGGTCCTCACCTCCTTGACCTATGGCCTCTGAATGAAGCATTAGGCCCTGCGAACATTCTGAAAAGACGCTTTGTGGATCAGTTAGATCAGAGGCTAAGGTCTTCACTCACTTAAAACACAATTTTGAGAAGATGAACTAATTAAGTATGCATGAGGCCATAAAACCCACTTGTGGCTTTTATGTGGCGGTGAACAATCCAGCAACGAGAAATATGCGTGCTAAGGGGAACGACTGTCTTTTCTTAATGGGCAACAGGACTGATGGCAAACGTCTTGGTAATTAGAGACGAAGGAACCGTTAACTCCAGGAGGAAAAGGAAAGTGTCCTTACCCTGTGCCAAGTGGATATGAAGTTATTATTAAAGGAATGCAATATTTATCAGGTCTCTACTAACCACGATTAAAAAAAAAAAAAAGCTTGCATTTCAGAATCTCTTGGAACACTTGTTAAAAATACAGCCTCCAAAACAGAGAACAGACCCAGTGGCCCGAGATTTTGTATGACTCCGGGGGTCTAGGATGCCCAGCTAGGGCAGAAAACCACTGCTGTTTCAGGGGTCCATCCAGGGGTCCACCCACGTACTCACCATCAACCTTGAGCTGTGCTCCTTAACCTCGGTGTGGCAGCAAAATCACACAGAGCAGATCACCGCCCCATTCCAACCTGAGAGCTTATGACGCCTCAGCTCGGGGGTGGGGGCTGGGGATTTACATTCGAACCAGCTCCCAGGGGATGCTGATGGTGCTCAGGGGACCACGCTTTGAGAACCCCTGCTCTACTACCCTTCCCGTCAACAAGCCTCCCTCTGCTCAAGATGGAAGTTGTTTTTTTTGTTTTGTTTTTAAAGATTTTATTCATTTATCGGACAGACAGATCACAAGTAGGCAGAGAAGCAGGCAGAGAGAGAGAGGAGGAAGTAGGCTCCTCGCTGAGCAGAGAGCCTGGTGCAGGGCTCAATCCCAAGACCCTGGGATCACGACCTGAGCCGAAGGCAGAGGCTTTAACCCACTGAGCCACTCAGGTGCCCCTGTTTCGTTTTTTTTTAAATTAGACACGAGTGGAAAGCACGCTCTCCTTTTCAGCTCCTAGAGACACTCTCACATAGGCAAGCTGGGGTTGCCTTTTGGGGAGGCTCACCTCTTAGGGTGCCTGAGGCACTCCCAGGCCAGCTGCAGCAAAGGGGATCCAGCCCAAAAGAGAGCCCTTCAGCCCACGCTGTCATGAACGCCCTAAGAGGCACCTACGAGACCACGGTCAGGTAGAGATGAGCCCTTCCTCACCTTCAAAAGTCAGGAGCTCACTAAGTAAGGAGAGAAGTTCTCCGAGCAGCCGCGGACAGTCAGAATAGCCCCCAGGAGCCTTCCCAGAGGTCTGCCTGTTTTCTTCCTCTGGCCTGGGGCGTGGGGCCTGGACTGCAATCACCTGGGGAGCCTTTGAAAACACCAGCGCCTGCCCCGCCCCCAGCCAGGGCTCTGATAGCGTCTGGGAGATACGCGCCTGAGCAGAGCTACTTTCAAATCTCCCAGATGATTCTAAGACGCAGGCGGAGGAATGTGGGTGCATAGACGCACCGGGCGGACGCTGCAGAGGAGTCGCCGCGCAGACGTGGATGCTACCCCAGGGCAACGTGGTCATCTGCGTGCAGCGTGGGAGCAGGGAAGCCTCGAGGCCAAATCTGCCTGGGACGGCACGTGGCCGATTTTTCCGTGCCCGTCTGCAGAGCGTTAGCAATACTCGCTCGAGTGAGCATTAGGAGATCGTGCCTCAGAGGACCCGGCACACAGTAGGTGCGTCTGAGAGTTCTCGCCTCATCACCGGTGCGCATGCTCTGTGTGACTTCCAAGTCCCGC